TTTTTCGAGATTATTTGTGGTAGGCCAGAAAGTCCTAAACTTTGGAAGTTTGAAATTCCTTCGTACACTGAATAGCTAAGCTTTTCTGCAAAAATTGTGGAAACAATGTCCTGACCTTAGGCATACAAAAATGAGCGAAGCTTCGGCGATTGCCCTACTTATGAGAAACATTGGACCCATAGAATGCCAGCAGCGATTATCTTTTTCGGGGCGTCGATTTCTCGGCTCAGATATTTTTGAAAGATTTACTTAAACATGCTATAGGTAAACAATGTTCAACCGATACAGTAGCTGTGTTTTCAAAAGAACCCGTTCATATGCGCCTGTTTTCTGGCCAAGAAAGTTAAAGCAACGAATTTTCGATTTTGAGTGCAGCAGCTCAGATAATCGCCGGGGGCAGGCGGTCCGCAAACTCGCGCTTTTCTGCAGGCGGTCAGCAGAATTTTGGGACGTGGCCAAACCTTCAGCGGGCGGCACTTCCTTTACGGTCGCATATTCTGCCAGCGGGCAGCAATACAGCGTTTTTTGCAAGCGCTCGGAAAATAATTTCATTCAGCGAGCGCTGGCCAAACTTTCAGCAAGCGCTCGGACTCTTTTTAGGCATTTTCGGGCGTACGTCGAGCGCAGGTAAGACTGTGTGGCAGAGGTGTACCGTTGGTTTAATTACTCAAGTTTGAGGTACTTTCTCTCAGCGGAAAGTACCTGGGGGTTGCGCGGTCCTCTACAAAGGACCGTGCGGCCCCCGAAATTTTTGCATATTCTCGCGGAAAGTCCGCGAGAATGCGGCCGCTGCGCCGCAGCTAATCCATAAAGAAACCGCGATTGTTCTTCAAGCATTCGTCTTTAATTTCGCCAACTTTCTTCCAAATTTCTGCAAGCGGGGCGCAAAAAATCAACAAACTATTTTCCCGGTGCGCGCTTGCTCAAATTCGCATGGCCGCCTGCCCCCTGCGGTTATATGAGAGTGTGAGATGCTTATGAAATCCTCACAAGTGAGATAGAAGCTTGATTTCATAAAATTTCTTAAATGCTGAAAGTACATGAAGAAAGCTTCCCAATGATACGTAGGATCCACATCGAAAAAAATATAAAGGAAAAAACTTGTTCGGAAAATAGGCCTAGAAAAACGGACATTATTTTCGCAACAACCAATATATTAGGTCGGCCCGAGAGTTCGCGCTGTTTTTCAGACCCATGCTCAAACCGCTTAGAATGAAGACAGGCAAACGCCGTGAGCAAAAGAGTCCAGTGCAGAACTTTTTTCACTTTTCAATAGTTCTGTTTTTTCAAGTTCCCTCAATGTCCGCTCAATAATCGGCCAGAATCTCCAATCCATGATTTTCACCCATCTTCAGTTTGGCTATTTTTTGAAATTTTCATTTTCAGCTTCTAGACTAGCTTTAATAAGTTGGATAGAATAAACAAAATGCAACAATACATTTTTCTGGCATCTCTAGCTGGATTCTCAGAATTTTTGAAAATATTTTTCTAATGCTATCAAATTCCATTTTTGCGTATCTCAATCCTTACAGAATAAGAAACTGCTAGCATTCAAGGTGTCATTCGATGCAACTTTTTTCCGTCTTTATGATAGAATTCATTTCTTGCTGATTTATATAGAATTTGAGGAAATCATTAGAATTTTTGTTTGCTGACGTGTCCCAGGCTGTACCCACAAAATTCGGAATCCAGCACTTCGAACCGCCAAACACTCATTTGCTTGCTGAGATTAGTGCTAAGTCATATTTTGTTTCTGAAAGTTTTTAATTCCTAAGATTTGTCAGCGTTTGAAGCAATTGCGTATTTCGCTACTTCGCAAAAATGAGGGCTTTCGGAAAAATATTCTATAAATACTGAAGAGTTAGTTGATAAAGCCGAAATAGTTCATTGTATTGCATTTTGTTTGTTCTATCCAACTGTTATTGAAGCTATTCCAAAAATTAAAAATTAAAATTTTAAAAAATAGCCAAACTGAAGATTGGTGAAAATCATGGGTTTGAGATTCTGGCCGATTATTGGACTGACTTTGAGGGAATCTGAACAAAAACATAACCACTGGGAAGAGTAAGAAATTCTGCATCGTATGTTACAGCGTTACAGCGTTTGTCTTTCTTCATTCTAACAAGGGAACGATACTTGGTGTCCGTGGCCTTTTGAGATGAAACCTATACCATCACACTCGTCTTGGAGCGCTGATTCCGAATCTGTCTTCCTTTTCTGCTAATCGTTTCTCTGAAAGAAGTTATGAAGGATTTTCGCGTCAATGATCGCCGAAATGCGACCGAGGATGCCTAACTTTCAAAAAGAAGCGTTCTTGAGGTAATGCAAAACTGAAAAACACAAAAGGACTCGAACCCAAACCTACATTAACTTGCGAGGCTATCTCACTAGTCATTACATGACATCTTACAAGGAAAGCTTGTTTAGTCGGAGTGGCCTTTCCGATTGAGATGTATACCATGTTAAAGCGCATAAAACACTGATTCCAAAACTGTCTTCTTTATCTGCAGAACGTTTATGGAGAGAAGTTATGAGCGTTTTTTGGAGCCAAAAGTCGAATGCGCATTTTGAATAAAATGAGTTGTTAGAATCTTACTAGCCTTCAAGTAACGTAACCAAGTGTGGTATAACTTTTATCTTAGAGTAATTGTCAAGTGAAGTGTTTTAATGATTATCATTGCTCCGTTGAAGAGCTAGAAAAAGTATTACGTTATTTTTGTCACACTTGCACATTCAATTTTTGACTCCAAAAACGCTCATAGCTTCTCGTCCATAAACGTTTTGCAGATACGGAAGGCAGATTTTGAATCAGCATTTTATGCTCTACAATATGGTGTACATCCCATCAGAAAAGGCCACTTCGACTAAACAAGCATTCCTTGTTAGCGGAGGTTTTAGCTTTGCGACCACGTCTCCTTTGGCGAAAAAATCCTTCATAACTTCCTTTAGAGAAACGATTAGCAGAAACGGAAGTCAGATTCGGAATCAACGCTCCAAGGTGAGTGTAATAGTATACATCTTATTTCAAAAGGCCACGGACACCAAGTATCGTTTCCTTGTAAGTGGTTTGAGCACGGATCTGAAAACACTGCGAACATTTGGACCGACCTAAATAAATATAAAAGTCTTCTGAATATTATTTAGAAGGTACCTTTTAAAAGTATCATATTTGTTTCTCTAGACCACAGTTTCTTCATTTCGTTAAATGTAATGCGTAACATCTGCAGTATGTAGTCATTACGTATTATAACCTAGTCCGCATATTGCTGCTTTCGATCTTTTGTCTAGAATGATTGCACAGAATTTGTAGAAACACCGGCGTATGCTGTCGCTTCAGCGATGAGACTTCAATATTATGTATTGAATACACTGTACCCACGCGCTTTCAGGACAATTGACTAAATAACATCCATAACATAATATTGGTGCTTTTTGAGGAAGAGGAACCATACTGTCTTAGAGGAACCATACTGTCTTTTCCTTTTTCTTCATCAACTGAGCAATGAGGCAAGACGTAGTTAGTTTGGTTAAAAAAATAGAATAGAGGCGATGATAGAAGTAATCATTTGAAGCATGACAAAATTAAAAAAAAAACGGTTATAAACAAGCTTTTCTACAAACTCAGAAGCTATTTGTATGAACGACTTTGATACCCAAACTATTAGTCGGACGAATGAATATTATGGTAAAAATCAGTGCAAACTGTGATTTCACTTTCCCTGACAAATCAGCGATCAGGTCAACATCTTGTTTCCCCTGTACTTTTAGAAAAAAATCAAGGGTTTGATGTCACACTGCTAATGACTTGGACCTCAAGAAAGGCTTGCAATCAATAGGCAGTAAGACGCAGACAGAAGCAGTTAGAGGAAAAGAAACCTAAGATTGAGAAGAAATAAAAACCTAAAATTCAATAAAGCCATCGAAGTTTTGAAGAAAGCTCTACATTTCTCCTTCATATCTGTTACGTTTCTATACGTGGATTGTCCATTTTTTCGAATCTTGGCGTAAAGAACAGTTGTGTAGATTCCAACTAGATAGGCTGAATAAGTTAAATACCTTTTCTCCTCTGGAGCAACATCAAAGAACATGCCACGAAAACGCTGAACTTCAAACTGGAGCGAAGATCTTGTAGTTTGAGCTATCCTAGCAGGCAACGTTGGAAGAGTTTTTCGACTGTTGCTAAACATTTTCAGAATGAACAAGAAAGATAAGTGTATCGGAATCATCACCGAGCTCTCATCTTATCAATCATACTGTGGGTTTGCGCGAAGTCTTTGGTGCATAAAATGAAATCGAGCTACAGTTTGGCATGAGAAGGTCTGTTTCTCAACTTTAGCTTGTGCCACGTCTAAGTTGAAAAGTTGTTGCTGGCTATACTGCTCTCTAGGTGGCCTTCTTTTCGGTTCTGTTTCGCCTTGCTTGCGACTTCGAGCTCCGAAGAAGAATGAAAAAATGCGGAAACGTCGATGCCAGCCAATAAACATTAGTTACTGATCTTGATCTGAACTCACCTCTACATCAGCAAGTATCAATTTTTCACTTCGGAAATTAGCGGCATGAACAACCAGCAATTTTAGCATTTATGATTTCTTGCAAGCTTTTCATAGATGCTTTTCTGGGTTGCTTAGCTGGCCACCGGGATTGGTATATCCTTTATTCAACCTTTCGGCGGTATCACCTTCTTCATAGTCCGAAATCATCGAATGCATAAGTGAGCTATATCAAAAACCGCGTCAAGACTTAGGAAGACGCCCATGCGTCAGTAAACCAAGAACTCGAAAGTGAATGGAGGATCAGACTATTGCGACAAAATGGTGCTGCAGACCACTTTACCAGTAATTGAGCTCTAATTTTCTTATATGCCTAGTAGGCTGGCCTCAACTTGACCTCAGAAGCCGCAAAGGCTCGGATAAAGCGCCAACTTACTCTTTCTCCTAGACTTCAAGCAACGTGAGAAAGGCCACGTTTGTAGTTGGTTTCCCTATGACGGCACATTTGGCGTATAAATCATTTATTATTTATGTGGGGAAGCAAAAATTAACCCGATGTTATGCAACAAAAAATAATAGCATTTTCTAAGAATTGCTTACCACACGGATAATTAGGACCAAATGAATGTTTAGGATCAAATAATTCAATGTTGAAAACCATGTGAGAGTTTCCTAATATGATTGCACTTCTTTTTTGTGGTTGGACGAGGATATTGTGACCAGCAATGCACGACAGCAGCATCACATGCACAAAGAGCGAGCTTACAAGCGGTTTGCTTTTCTGAAAAACAAAATGAAAGACATTTTTGAGGTGGTACTAGTACCTGCACTTCACATTTCTTCTCTACTCAATCGTTGCCCCACTTCTTGCGCCTGCATATGCAGTGGTCACAAACAATTGAACAAAATTCAACTATTTATCATAGAATACGTTTGCATGATCCCACGTTCAAAAAAATTTCGTTAACTCACCCGTGCACATAGCAGTGCCATTCGTACACCTCCACTTATAGTCATCTATATATTCCCATGCTACATCGTAGCAGATCTTCGAATCAACGGCGGCATCGTAGCACTTATCATGATGCATACAACATCTAAATGCTTCAGCTTTGTGGAATTTCCTGAAAACCTATGACTTACTCATCAATTTCGTCTACAGGCTCGTGTGAGCCACCAACTCCACACCAGCAGCCATAATTATTATATACCTAAGATTAAAAAATTTAACGAAATGGTGGCTATCAATTAAACGAGACTGATAAATTTGCCCTATGTTACTTTGTAAATCAAAGTATAAGACGTAGTACCGAGGCGTGGACATAACAATTATTTTCATTACCGAAATAAGATTGACACTCTCTTGCTATTTGGTTTGGTTACGAAATTGCCAATCAAGGATGATTCTGTAAGGCGATCAGACTTATCAAAATTGACTAGAGAATGTAAAGTGACGGAGCTTGTGATTAAGAGTTGAATACTGCTAGATCAAAATATCTGACAAGCCTTTGGCTGTATCTGCTTTTATACAAAATCGGAAACTAGAAATGGAAAATAATTGTTCGGGCAAAGTAGTGATAACGAATACTCAGCAGTGGTGGTATCTTACCAGTGCCCTATAATGCAGTGTACATTCGCAAACTTCTTCTAGATTCCATAAAGCTTTGAGAGACTTTGTTCGATTCGTTTGTGAAGAAACCAGTGAACACATGACTAGCAAGACTCCTATGAGCATCATCCTGAAAAGGTGATAAGAAATGATATCACTGTTTGCCCTTTATAAGATGGGAAAGGTATTAGACCAGAAGAATTGCAGATGCTTGAAGATGTCATTCTGCAGGAACAGGGAGCCAGCAGAAATGGAGGGGCATGGAGAATCATTGTGAACAGAAATTTCAATTGCGACTGCATCCGAAAAAGAAAGAGAGATGTAATCCCATTCGAAAATATTCATAAATTTAATGGAAAAAGGCATATACATATTATTTCTGAATTATGCCATATTGGGTCCATTTACAAACAAAAAATAGTCTTGCTTATTTGCAGTTAATCTTCAATGTTTCCCAAAATTACGTTGACAAACTTTGATTATTCTATATGGTATCATAAGATATTTATGGAATGTCCCCCCTCCCCTCTTCGAACGGTCCATAACTCTATTGACAGCTATTGGAAATGCCCCGTTTTTTAACAACTGGAACTTGGTTGACTGCTTTCTGCGAAATTTCGTTCTAAGCTTTTACCAAAGACGATCATAACTTAGTAGTTGATTTACAAGGCTCAAAGCATGCTTCCAATTCCACATGTTGAACATTATGGTATAACAAGATAATTTTTAGTCAAAGGCTGTCGGCGTAAATTTGGGACTATGATACTAATGCCTAGAGGATCATTTGTATTCAGATTTCTTAACGGACAGTTCTTCTCTCCTCATCCTTCAATCAAACGGTCGGCTAGCTTTTAGCTCTGACCTATACCATCCACCAAGGATGTGATCAAGAAGACAAGGTGGAAGAAATCGTGGCTGGTCCACTGCGTCTACTTGGTCGAAAAGTCATGGACCAAGATCGCAACGCGCTTTGGCACGAGCAATAGTAAGTTCTAGTCATCGAAGACGATCGAACTCGAAGTCGCCCAACTCAAGCCATAAACGGAATCACCGCGGTAATAATTGTATATAACCGCTGAGTATGAATAAATGTATTATGTATTATGTATAACGGACAGTTGAGCGCGAGATATTAAATTTGGAGCAGTAATAAATAACCGGCGCCATCTTGTTATCCTATGCAAATGTATTAGGTAGTTGCAAAAATAATGTCCGTTTTAATGCGAAATTTCACTTTGAAAAGCTATAACAGTCTTCATATTATTAAATGCAATCAAGACCATCAGATGCAGTAAACCTTTCGTAATCTAAGGCATACCTGCATGTACTGATATCGCAACGGGAAGAAAACCATGCGTCAGAAAACCAAAAGTTTTGCTTTTAAAAACCTCGTTTTTGAAAGATTACAAATTCCTTCAAGTTTTGTTGTTATGGCTGCTGATCAGCTTATTTTGTAGACGCAACCCAGTAGTATACGTTTGTATAAAAAGAACTTAGTCACTTTTTTAAGCCTATTTGCGATAGGCTTGGAATCCCAAACTATGAAAACTTGGAATTCGTCATGCACTGAATAGCTAAGTTTTTCTGCATGAATTGTAGATAAGATGCCCTGACTTAAGCCTACAGAAATGAGCGAAGTTTCAGCAATTGCCCTAATGAGGAAAAATTTTCGAACCGATAGGGATCCAGGCAGCGAATATCTTTTTTTGAAGCTCGATTTGTCAGTTCAGGTATATTCGAAAAACTTATTTAAGCATGCAATAAGTAAACAGTATCTATCCTATACAGCTATGTTTTCAGAAGAATTCGTTTATTTGCGCCTGAATTGTGGCCAAGAAAGTTGGAGCAATGAAATTTCGATTTTAAGTGCGGCTGTGCAATGCTAGTGAAAATCTTACAGATGAGATAAAAGCTTAATTTCACCACCGTTAGAAAGTGCATGAAGAAAGCTTATCAATGATGTGCAGAATCTGTCTCGAAAAAGAAAGCCTGAACGAGAAAAGTCGTTTGGAATATACGCTTAGAAAAACGGACATTATTTTTGCAACAACCTAACAACTACCTACGCAGTTTGTTAGCACTTTTAAAAAGGAAAAGCTAAATGATCTTAGGTTTATCGTTTTTGATTAGAGGTGCATGAACAAAACAAAGGTGCAGCGTAAATTGTGCTCAGAGGACGGGTAGACGTGCTTCATCTAATGTCCTTGAAAATAGCAATAAATTATGCTAGCGAGGAAAAGCAGACAAACAGTCAGCGACACGCGATGGTTCGCGTCTCAGATATCGTGTTCGAGCACAGCTGTTTCAAATTCTTCGCTTACAACGTGACTCACGATTCACTGTGATGCCATTTTTCCAATGATCCGAAAAATTGCGAGGTTTACTTGAGCGGATTGGGGTTATGCTAACGCGAAACCTTTGTTATTATGATATGTTTTGCAAAGATCAAAAGTTCTGTAAAAATATGCTGTCGGTAGGCAAGCGAGAAAGAAAGGTAGGCAAAAAACAGTAAGTTTGTCCTTCTCGGTTTTTACCTCAAGCTAGATTTTTGTCAAAAGCCTTGTAAAAGGCCAAAAAATAATAGTTGTACCTCCAAATTTTTCTGGTATGGAATTAACAATGTTGAAAAGGTCAATAATGATCTCGCCAGAAGCATGATTATTTGAGCAGTTTCGATTTCTAGCCATGGAAAAATATAGCAACCGTTCATATAAATCCTTATTGGGGAGTTTTACATGAATAAGTGCAGGACAAGTACTTATTTGGAGTTATTCAATGTTAAGATTATCATGAATGGAATGTCTTCGAGCTTCACGTAAACGAAACTTTGTGTGTGCGAATGTTTGGAAGGCAATCTGCGGAGCACGCTTTGCTTTTTTGACTAGAAACTTCAGCCTCACTTCAGAAACAGAAATAAGTAATTTGTTAACTGATCTCGTTTCAGAGACAGAATGGCGTACATGTCATTTTCGCCATATAAATTCAAAAAGTAAAACTCGGCCATGTAAAATATGAGCGATATCAAACTTGATTTCCGTATATTTCAATGACGCTCCTTCCGATTTCTAAAGCAATATTGCTCACACAAGCTTTTTTCTTCCTTTTTCCAACTGCACTAACGATTTTTTCAACCTAACTGTCGTTTGCCAATAAGTTCTTATCCTAGAATGCCATTAACCTAATATGGAAGGACAAGTGCACACAATCTTCAGAGGTGCTTCTGTGGCCTTTATGATAATAGTTTCGCTTATTTGGTCAAATTAGGTCAAACATACAATTACTCCTCAAAGACAGAGTGGAAAAAGCGTCAACAAAAACTCAGACAATCGCTGGGGGCAGGCGGGCACCGGAAAAATAGATTGCTGATTTCTCGCACCCCGCTCGCGGATTTTTTGCAAAGCAATCAGGACTTTTCGGAAGACCGCTCGCTGAGTTAGAGGATTTTTGAGAGACCGCCTGTTGAATTTTTTTCGCTCTTATCTTTTGCAGATATATTGCTAATTCTCTGACGAATTCGAGAACTCAGCAAGCGGTCTTCCGAAAATTCCTGATTGCTTTCCAAAAAATCCGCGAGCGGGGTGCGAGAGATCAGCAATCTATTTTTCCGGTGCCCGCCTGCCCCCGGCGATTGTCTGAGAAGCTGAACAATATCGGACTGTGAAGAGAGTTGAATGTATGAAGACCTTCAAGCTCCTATGCTTTCGTCATCTCAACGATGATTGTGCGCAGAAGAGTTCATTTGCAGTTTAAGCAAGCAGTTTAACAGGGGTTTTGAGCTTCTAAAAGGTTTGATTCTACACATATATCAGAGTCAAAAAACTCTAAAACCTTACCAATTTACTTCAAATTTTGTCGGAATAATTCAACAAAAAAAGAAATTTTGATAAAATTTCTAGAAGGTTGATCATGAGGAGATAACTGCTTTTCTCCGTTTTCACTTTCCCCATTCAAAATAATTTTAATATGCAGGGTGTCCCAAAAAATTGTGAACACTGTTTGATCGTTAATAACTCTCTTGCTTTCACGTCTTTCACCGAGCTTGAAGCGCCATTCTGTAAAGCGAGGTTCAACTTACATTTATAAAATGGAGCGAATCATTGATCGCTCTTCGTTACTGTTCAGCATGTGGATCCATTGTGGAATATGCCTTTTGACAAAATTTTTTTCGAAAAATTTGAAAAAACGTGTACTAGGGTTTTCGAGCACGCTGATTTTACTACACAACTTTTTACGGGTGTTTTTAGCTTTTTTGACGTGCAATACATGTCTGACAAATGCTGGGAATTCAGTTGTTACGGTCTACTTGGGATAACCTTGAAAAAAAGCATCACAGTAAAGTGAAAATTTCATATTCAAAATCAGCGGCTGCCATCACCGTAGTATAAGAGTTTTTGGCTTGTTTGGTTTTGTTCCGAGGAGAATATGACCTACAATGGCCTAAAATCCTTGTCGAAGTTCCTACCGTAATCCTACAGTAACGAAGAGCGATCGATGATTCGCTCCATACTATACATTTAAGTTGAACTTCGCTCTACAGAGTGTTTCCTCAAGCTTGTGAAAGACATGTAAACAAGAAAGTTATTGATGATCAAACAGTGTTCACATTTTTTTGGACATCCTGTATGTCAGGGTTTGGTTTCGCTTTTTGAGGGCTGGACTGATCTCGAAAGTGTATGAATTTTTCCATCACGAGATATGAAAAATGTTTTCTATTCAAAATCTCTGTCTAGTGTTCCGGCCTCCAATCGAATGTTTATTAGAGGGGCAAGCACCGCATTCCAGATATCCCAGTGGTATAAGTACGGTCAAGCAAGAAATTTTGAGAGTCGATCATAATCAATTTGACTTTTCGGACTCTACAAATTTCCAATTCATTCTTTCAGCAATTTTCCATTGATCATTCAAATGAATAATCGTTTTGAAATTTTTTTTGAAATAGTGCGTTTTTCTGAACACAAAGCGAAATGAGAAATCATTACTTCCGAATCTTTGCCGAGAAAATCCTACTTTGAGTTGCATGCGCATATGTTTTTTACAAAAGCCTTTCATATGTATAGCTGCAGCATTTTTTCCTTGGCCACAAATCGAGAGATAAAAATGGGCCAAAACTGACAATAACGCATCTGTGAGCTTTTCGTGCTAGATGC